CCTTCCCAATTCACCCACTTAACAGTCCACCTACAGTGCTGTATTTATGTATTAATTTATCAGCTTCCGCCTTCAATGCCCAGCTACCTACCCCACCTCCACGAATTATCGGTGAACGAAACTGTGGCATCTACAACCACTGTACGACAAGCACACGGTTATTACAGCTGACAATGTTGATGATGATGATGATGACGCACGTGGCAAGGCCTGCAGACCATCATCTCGGGAGTTAAATTTTTATGTAAGTAGACTAAAATATACTCAGCCAGGTTGTGATTAGCCACTGCCGCTTTGGAAGCTGCGTTCGGCCTGAGTTTCGAGACAATAACGCACACAGAATTCACATGTTTTGTGAAAGGAATTGTGCTCAGATTATCAGTACTCTTTAGGCCCTCAGTAAATCTCCTTATTCCAGTTTAAGCTGACTAATATCTGACAGACGTAACATGCTACTCATAAAGCTGCTGAAAACTACTGGGTAGCCCATGACCGGTTTCACCGTTCTTGCGCCTTCTGTGAGAACCAATTTGGTGTACAAGTGAGTGTAGTTGGGCTATCAACTTTTTCCGAAGATACTTTTTAGCTCCATATAAGCCATACAACGACTGTTGGAGGTCAGCCTTATCTTCGTGAAATCCCAGCCGATTTCACCCATCATACAAATTAATTTTTATGAGTTCCCTTCTCAGAGAGAGACGGCAAACCACTTAGGCTTTTAGTTTTACAGTCATCATTGTGAATAAATCGATAAAAGTTAATGTAACGAATTCCTCAACGACTTTATGATTTCTCGGGGCGGGATAGCTCAGTGTTTAGAGAGCGGTTAGAGACCTGAAGGTCCGCGTTTCGAACCCGACCTCTGCCTCTCGACTTCCGCTGTCTAGGTTTGGATAACCCGGTACTATCCCGGCCGTCGTGCTTCCTTCTGGTGGCATGGCAGGAACCGGAAGAGTGCTACAGCTGAACGAATTTTTTTTGATTTCTCAATGTGTTATCCGACTGTCCGCTTCCACTTTGTATTGCAGGTGGTGACGCACCTGCCTCGTTCGCTCTTGAGTTGCTCACGGTTGCTTTCAGGCGATGTCGTCACATGACTTTTTCGACTTTGTGATCGTCGGTGGGGGCATCGCTGGTGTGGTTTGCGCAGAAACACTGTGTGAGCTGATTCGACCAAGTCGCTTTGGTGGTGGACAGTCCAAGGGTTACGATGCTCGGGTTGCCCTCGTTTCTGCTACGCCGACAGTGAAAACAACGGTTAATTTGCGACGAATTACAAACATGATTGAATCATTTGATGTTTCTGAAGCCTCGGCCAATGTGTGGTCCGAGACATGGCCTGGGACCTTGGAAATTTTCTGCGATACTGTAAGACGACTAGAGTAAGTTCTTGGTTGGTCTTTTCAGACGCTCAGCAGTTTTCCTTTTGTTATCTGCTTTTGTCCTGTGGGACAGAAATACGATGATGATGATGATGGCGTAGTTTCTGTTTATAAACACCATTTCTGGTAGACTATCTTGCATGCATCGCTGGATTTTCAAGCTTTGAACTACTGTATTGGCTTAGACGTACAATCCACGCCACCGCCCGAGTTGTTCCGCTTCAGTCGCTCTTTGGGGTTTTCTCGTTTACCGTAAATTCTCTTCTCCATGACTTCCGCTTCTCTGAGACGCTTCCGTTCTCTCCCTGGTTAGAGTCATGCCACTGATCTCTGTGGCTTTTGTTCCCAGCGTGGTGGATGGCGCAATGGCTCAGTGGTTAGAGTGCGAATTTACTGACTGAGTTCGAACCCGACCTCCGCCTCTCGACTTCCCCTTCCTAGGCTTTAGCCATCTGGCCCTATACAATCTCTTGTGCTTCCTTCTGGTGCCATGGCAGTTAGGCACCGAACGGGTGCTACAGCTGAACATGGTGGATCAGCTCTGTAGTGTTCGAATGGCTGATAGAACATAAAAACCAGACCCATTAGGGACGGATGATCGACGACTATGTGCCTTAGTCGAAAGATTGCCTTCGAAAGATTCGCAGAGCTGCCACCCTCTCGTGAACGACGAAATCGGTCATCCCAATAACAGAGCTTGGATAACTCCAGTTATAGTTCAACTAGATATTTGTGGTGTCTTATGTTGCTTTATCATTAGCAACGTTAGTAAACCATGTCGTATTTCGGCAACGTCTCGTCGTACACATGTGGGTACGATCTGTCTTCCAACTTACTCACTTCATCAGTGATTATTCTCGTTTTCCAAGTTCTCTGTACTAGACTTGAGACAGTTGGCAACGTTGCTATTTGGCCGTTTGTTCCTTATGTGCACATGCCGGTTTTTCATGCCCATCACGAACTTACAATGAGCGGACCGTTATAATGGAACCACAAATGACCTCTAGACTTAGCGTTAAGGTGAATATGAATATCCGTGCGGCCGTGGTGATGGCAGGTATAGCTACCAGTGAGAGGAGGAGGGCCTTCGCTGCGGCGTTATTTATTAGAAAATGCCAACTGACCAGTTACAGACCATTGGGCAGGAAGCAAAACTCTCATTTGCATCTTATTTACAAAAACTGGACATCCATCTTCTCCTGAACGCGTATTCTTGAACTTTCCTGGATATTCACTGACTCCAGTCATTCATTGCTCAAATCCAAGCAAATGCTACAAAGCGGCTCCATAAATTTCGCAACAGATCTCCCTTTTCAAGAGACGCAACGTGGATTTACAAGAACAAAACATACTACTCGCATGCTTCCCCATCGGTAGTATCACTGTCACAAACCTTCAGCCTTCAAAGCTCGTTCGCATGCCATCGACTTTCATTTACCTCCGTCAGGTCGGCTTTGGCAGCGGGTCTACTCGGCCGCTCTTCGGGTGTATCATGCCACTTGCGAAGCTGTGTCCCATTCACTACTTTCGATCCCCGACCATCTTGAATGGTAAAGACGTTCCCCCGGCGGTTGGTGACGACAAACGGCCCTTGCCATCGACTG